TGTGTGTGTGTGTGTGTGTGTGTGTGTGTGTGTGTGTGTGTGTATGAGAGTTAGGGATTTTTAAAAACTTACACTCAAACTTGGTGAAAAAGTTAAATGAAGCATAAAGATTGATGAAAATTTGTCTAAAAGTAATTGCACGGGGTGCTTGCTTTCTTTTTATATGAATTATTGTATTAACTAGTAGTAAAATATGTATTAAATAATAAACTAGTTCTAATATCTATTGAAGAAACTGTTACAGTTAGAATAGCCACATTATCATGACATTCAAGTCAAATGTAAGCTACTACGGAAATTGCAAGGGGAATTATTGTTCAAGAGACATAATGAAAATTGTATGACCCTCTCTTTTTAATGCTTAGGAAGAACACATTTAGAGTTCCTAATTCTAAAATATAGATGTAACTTCCAAATCTAATTGAATATATCTAAAATCAAGGGTTATTTCAATCATTTACCTGTCATATTTCTTTATGGAGGAAGGATTTTTAACTAGTCCATCATTTAAAGATTTTGAAAACACAAATGCTTATTTCATAATAATCTTCCTTATGAATAGCAAAATGCAACCTTCAGGGCACATACATAAAATCAAATTTCAAACAGGCATGATGGCATTATTAGTATATTAATATATACCTAACTTAAATACTGTAAATCAAGGTTGTCCAACTGGTAACCCATGAGAGGCTAATGTGAGGCCTCCAGTATCTCACCTGGTCACTGCTTCCTCATTGCTTTGGCTGCAATAGCAGCTGGAGTCTCCAGACTCCCCCTCCCTCTTCCAGCTGTCACTTCCTGCCCTTGCCCCAACCCCAATGTGGCAGTATAGGGAGTTAAGGGTGAATCTGGGGGTATGCCCGGGGTAGGCGGAGAAATCAGAGTTATGTACGGAGGGATTACACCCACGTGGTGCAGCAGTAGGGTGGGGAGTGGAACCTGCACAAGTGTGTGGCACAGTGGTGGTAGGAGGAAGGAAGTGTCCACACAGTACACCTTGTACATCCCGCGTGGTGTGCAGCCCCAGCTGGTGTGGCCTCCAGGGGCTTAGAAGTTGGATAGCTCTATCGCAAATAAAGAGTAACCATATCCAAGTCAATGGAGTTATACCATTGTTATAGAGAGATCAAATACACAGATTTAGAACTTTTCTTTTGGCGAAATGTCAGAAAGTTTTGAAATACCATACTCTTATCACTTCTATTCTGATCCTTAGCTTCATTCTTCATGGACTGACAAGTTTAAAAATATTATAGTTTTATGGGACGTTTATGGAATTGTTCTGCTATTGCAGTTGATTATCTAGAAACACTACTTGCTAAACCCAATTTTCAAGAACTGTTCGGCATGGGCAGGGAGTCAGATAACAGCGGTCATTAGCAATTCACATATATCATTTATGTAACATGTTCTGAAAATGCCAAGAGTTACCCAGGGATTACATCAAGTTGTGCTACTCTGCCTTTGAGACTGTTCTAGCCAAGAATAAAGTACAAAACCAAACTGGAAGTAAAGAAAGATACAAATCTGATATAAACAATGATACAATCTATTGTTCATTCAGCTATAAGATTACTCCAGTGCCTGTAAACAAGTCCTGGATTTCACACAGCCCATATTCAAAGACCCCAGTGCATTGCTACCTTAAATGATGTTATTTTTGTATTCTGTAAATGATTCTATTCTCAAATGATTTTATTTCTGTATGAAACTTCTGTACTCACATTTCAACATGTAAAACTTCTGCACTCCTGGCATATTAAAGTTATGAATATTTCTTGTTATCACTAGTTTATAACCAAGGAAAAGAATTTTGGATTGAATTTTTTGGGCATCTGATTTGGGCAGGGCATTGTTGGTCAGTTTGCCAACAATCAGGTAGTCTGTGCTTTGCTTGGAACAAAGGTGTCCATGGATGCTTTTATGTTTTTCATTGTCAGCATGAAAAAAGTCAATTAAAACATAAATTGGCAAACTCATTTCTTCTTCATAGCATTTTGCCAGGAGAAGAAGTAGAATTCAATGGAGAAATTGTAATGAATGTAAATTTCCTGCAAGCAACCAGGAAGATCGGATAAGGACTTGGAGTCAATTTGATTGGGCTGGATAAAACACAGCATACTTTGTTTCAGATACAATACATTTGTGCTGGCTCTGACTTGATTTGAGTGTTGAATGCAGTCTGGATAGAAGACTTAGTAAAGGATCAAGGTTTCTTGTCAGACTATATTAAAAACAAATCAGACCCTTCATGCCTTTTGTATACATTTTCATCAGGTCTGAATCCAGTCTGGGAATGGTAGACACATAGCTGATTATATTCCATACATTCCAAATGAGATCAGATTATATCAGATGTCAAGTTCAATCTAAATGGAAGAAATGTGGCCTTAGTTTTCAAAAAAAAATGTGAAGGCTTTGGCTGGCTGTATTTTTCAGGTACTCAGATGGAATACCTTAAAAGAGCCTGATTTTCAGAGGCTGTATATGAAGTGCTTTCTAAAAATCAATGTCTTTCAAAAGTTGAGCAATAAGGTATGAGACAACCACAACAACCATTCGCTTTAAAAATGTAGAATTATAAGTGTAACTTGAACTGAAATAGGACAAGGCCTCAAATTCTATTACTTCTGATGTGCCTGAATGACAGTTTTTCAGCTGTGTATGTGGTGCTTTTGGCAATTCTTTTACCATGCAGTATGGATACACTAGTATCCACATGGCTACTGCATATATGCTCATTAGCCTGTCTACTGGATGGACAAACATGCAGCTCTATGCAAGCCCAACATATATATGTACATTTCAAACTGGCAAAAGCCTTAGGATGACAAGGACAAGAATAAGCCTCACTTTTTTAGACCCAATAGCAGAGTGATTAGAGTACTTAAGAAAAAGGAGATGCAGGTTTTAGGTCCCCCTGTCACAGAGAGAACTTGAACCTACACATTTTCAGCCATTTAGAGTAGTTCTCTAACTGCCATACCAGAGGCTAGGTGCTACCCGACCTTTCTTCAGTCCTCCTTTTGAGCCTGGCCCCTGGGGAGACAAAAGTCAGGGAAATGGACACAGGAGGAAGAGAATAAGCAAGAGGGTGCATGTCTTACTGAGACTGATGCAATTCTTAAAGAGGCGTAGGGTTGGATGCTTGATCATAGTGGAACAAAAACTTCCTCACTCTTCTCCATCCACTTTATTCAATGATTATTAAATGCAAGGTTCAGTAGCTCAGCTTCAAAAGGAGTGCTCAAGAAGCCCTGGATCATTCCTAATATGTAATGTGGATGCTACAGCCCGCCCTGCACAGGGAATTTGGAGCAGCACAGGCTTAAAATCTTTCTAGGTGCTTTTTTGGGGGGGTGGGGGCAGAATCTGGGCTTTCCATTTTTTGAGCAGGTGCCCTAACTATTCAGTAACTGGGGCTCAAATATTGGAGGTACCATGGACCTGTTTTTTTCTTAACCATGTATTTGCCCAGCCAGTATGCAGCCTACTGAGCAGGTGCAGTAGCTGTGTGAATAATTTCAGGTATAGACTGAATGGGTTACAGTCACATTTACAGTGCCTGTAAGAGGAAAATTAGCCTTTAGGCAAACAAAGGGAACAGGACTGTCCTGAAAGGGCTTTTCTCTCAGAGGTCATCTACAAACAGCATTTCCAGTATTGGTTCTAAAGTACTTAGCAGACAAATCCCAGGTCTTTCCTTGCACAAAAGAACAATTAAAATCAGTGGAAGTTTAAAAAATGATGGTTTTGCAGAATCAGGTCTGTAATTTACAGATTGTTTTAGAAAAGTTATTTGTGAAATCATATATGAATGCATGTATATTGAAATTGTAATGTAGGCTATTATTATAAGAACATTTATAATTCAAACTAAATTGTATTACATATAGGCTACTGGACTCTATAGTGATGTTTGCTCAGAAGAATTATGATAGCAACTCATATCTTTTCCACCACAAGGTACAATTTCAATGGACACAACGGTGGCATGATTGACCCTTCTAATCAATGTTCCCCATCACTATTGGTTTGTATCACCAACTTTACATTTAGCGGACAATTTGGAGTAAGGGAAGGAAACAAGAAACATAATCCAGAAATGCATGCTTTGTTCAATTGCAATTAAAATGCTGAACCATACTAATGTTCCCCATCAACATAATGAAAATCAGTGAGATGCTTGCATCTTAAAAAAACCAGCTGCATATACAGGTGTTTGTACCAGATGCTTCCCTAAGCACAATGTGATAAAAATAATTTTTCCCCACTCAATATAGAACAGTCTTAAAGCAGGATATTTAAAGGAGGATGATAGTACAGGTAATTAGAAACCCCATGCCTTACACACAATATAATACTTTAGTGGGAAGCTGAAAACCATCTGCCCTGTACATGTATAATTTCAAGTGCCTGTGTCTTCATTTGTGAATTAATCATACTGATGGGCAGAAGCCAACTTGGTGACTTGGGTGACATCTTAATCAGACAGACTGAAAATCTTTAAGGTTCAAACTCTCTCATCCTCAGAGCAAGTTACAATCTATCACAACTGCGATTCATTCCATTGACTCCAACTTAAGTGAGGGTATAAAAATCTGGACTTGAAAATCAAATAAGGAACACTGGTAAGAAGTTTAAAGAAAACAACCGGTCTTAATACAAGAATTCATATTGTGGCTTTCCCTACCTTTGGACTTTCTGTCATGGTAGCTCCTGCCTCGATAGTGATGTCCAGCATCTGTGTACAGATTTTCAAGATCTTCTTGCCATGAATCCGGATTAAAGTGTTTGAGTAGCTCTTCCACAGTGTCAAATGCAGCAACGGTCTGGTCTAGAGCTTCCACAGTGAGGGTAGGGTCAGTCACTGATGGAGAGGGATAGGATACCCCCTAAGAGTGACATACAGCTCAATGTACTTCGAAAAATTATAGCATAACTCAATACAACTGACAGTAGTTACTAGAGAAGCTTTTCTGAATAGCTGATTCACTCTTGCAACGGAGACATTTTCCCTGATATTTACACAACATTTTTGGCCACCTTTTAAAGTCTTAATGTTGGTTGTGCCACTGCAGGTAGAAACAGATGTTGATTTTTGAGTGGGATCAGTTGTGTGCTGGGATGTGTCCTAGCACAGCTAATCCACTTCACTGGCATCTATAGAGTCACTGGGACCACTGTCCCAAAGGGTTGGGTCCCTACCGCTCCCAGGATTCAGAGGCCCAATCATACAGGATGGTGGGCCAAGGTGCTGCTTTCTAATTCAAAGCACTTGTCTACAAGTGTGGTATGGGAATCCCTGTATGAGGAAAGGTCCTACTTGCAGATGTGTGCCCTAACTCAAGGCACAGCAGTGAGATATGTGCACTGCAGGATTCCCCATTATGCTCAATAAGTAAACATATGCCCTCCCATTTAAAGCATCACAAACTGTGATGGCTTTTGATCATACCACCATTTTTGGCCCTTGGAGTGAGTGCAACAAAGGGCTAGGACATTATTTGCTCACAATATGTGCTACCACAAACATTTTTATAGTGGCACAAGGAGGGCATCTATTTTCACTCTGTCTGTGGTGAAGAGCAGTGAAGCAGCATGGCTTTGTTCCCTTCTAAATAAGGGCAGACACTACAAGGATGGGTGGCACTGACGCTACTAGAAGGGGTTAGCCATTCCAAGAGACCATGCAGGGTGGGGAAAAGGCAGAGTTAGGTTTCTACTTCTCTCCCTGGCATGAAAATGAACAACTTCTCTCGGTATGCATGTAGACAAAAATTTCATTGAAATATCCATACATTACTATCTTAGGTATTTAATATGATGGTCATTACTGCAATATCTGAATGCACTGGAATCCTTTTGTTATCGTCCTGAGACTCTTTATGTGACACATCATGCACCCATGCGCTCTTTTTTACAGGCTGGCAATTGTGATATACAGAGCCAAAAGCCATCACCACAAAGGAATTTGAGGGACTGAATTCTGGTCTCCCAAGCTACCAGTCTGACTACTGGACCATCCGTTCTCTCCTCAGTCCCGTTGAATTTAATTTAATTTGGTCTCTGATATTAAGAAATAAATCTACTTTAGAAGGCCAATAAACTTGAGAAAAATTGCTGAAGTACGCTAGAAAATTGTAATGCAAATTCTAACCAATCCAAAAAGTGCAAAAATTGAGGGGATTACCACTTTTGTCAAATGTCGTAATGACTAACAAAATAAAAACAAGGATGTTACTATGGATTTAGATCTAAACACCAGTTTTTGAGGCACACAGCTTGTACTGACTTCAACTGAAGTCAGTTCACATCTAAGGGAAGATTTCACATGCAAGACTGTGTATTTATAATGACTAACTTCACTTTTATTAGAGCAAACTGTTTACTTTTTCCGTAACCTTCTTTTCAGTTCACAAATATTCAACATTTTACTATTCTGCTTCCCCTTGGTTCTCATCTTGTCTCAGTTCAGTGTGAAGAATTCTCAAGAAATATTCACTACAGATACGTTACTTTCTTAAGTGCCACCTCCACTTTCACAAGCACTACCTCCCACTCTTCATAAGTTTTAACTATTTTAGTTCTACAAAAAATAGCGTATTGCACAGTACTTATTTTCAGACAAGGTAGTACAGGAGTTTAGAGCATTATTTTTAAATAAAAAGATCAGAAATAGAAAAATGGGGGAGGAAAAAACCCATCACTTTCTCCTCAAATCCTAGATCTGAAGCGATGCAAACATAGCCATATAGCTTAACGTCAGATAACCATTCAAAGTCCTCACTAGAAGGCTAATTATGGTCTGAACCTGCAAGGCCTTACACACTGTTAATTTGTAATTAACTGTAGTTAGGTGAGCAGTCCCATTGTAATCAGTGGGGCTACTCATGTAAATAAACCTTCTCACTTATTTGCAGGACTGGAGACTTTCATGACTGGAACACTAACTTTACTGTAAATTTAGTCCTTTTAAATATTCAGTCCTTTAAATAAAATCTGCTAGATTTAGAATCTTTAATATAACAACTTGCACGGCTGTAAGTATGAGCCATCCAGATTATCAGGTCCCAGAGAGAAAAATAATTAAATATCACAATACTGCGTTGCCAAGCGATCAAGAAGAATTGCAGTTTTCTAACTATCACAGCTACACTGGTAGTTGAAAATGGGTGCATATTATTAAGGTTCACCTTTGTACATATATGCATATGTACACGTGTGTACAAAGTACACATACATTTTCTGTACATGTATGTACACAGATAAACCTCAATAATATGTACCTATTTTCAAATGCCAGTGTAGCTGTAGCTTATTTCATAGACAGACAGACATACACACACACTTATCAATATCAAATAAAAGATTTTTTTTCAGTGAAAGTAGCTTAGAATTTATTAAGCCTTCCCATAGAGACTTAATCCAAAATAAGTTTCAGAGGCACCCTTCTGCAACTGCAACTGCAACTGTTCTACAATCCAGTGCTAAATACAGCACAATGTAGACGAGCCTAGAAATTCATGATCCACTAAAAGAAAAACCATGCAACAAAGAACCTCAACTGACTTCTAAGAAACTGGGCATAAAAACTGTCAAATTGATGGGAGCCCTATGAGAACAAAAAATTCTCTGTAAGTGAAGTGAATAGTGTGCTGTTTAAAACAATGCTATAAGAAATTCAATGTGCTGGTCACAGTCATGTCTGTGATTACCTGCAGTATATTTTATATATAAAAAAAATCAAAATGCAATAAAATATCACAGGGTATCTATACATCAGAAAACAAATGGGTAGCAACTAATTTATAATCCCAAGCCACCACTGGAAAAAAACTCTAGTACAAAGGGTAGAGAAATAGGAGAAAGATGCAAGAATGCTGAGTAAATACCAAAATTGTAAAGAGGCTGCCCCTTGTTGTGATGCCCTCTACTAGGGCAACTCAAGCACGTCCAATCGTGTTGTTTGCTACAGGCTGTTTTCTACATGTTGTTTTCTACAGGCTGTTTTCTACAGGAAAAGTAGAAGAAGCCCCCTCAAAAGTAGATAGAAGCCCTCTCGACAATGGAATTAATGGACTACCTCCTGTAGGTTAAGTGGTAGGCACCAGAGTTTGATGCAGAAAGGTCAGGGGGTTAAATCTACAGTGCCACATGTATGTGACTGAGATGATGAGCATACTGTTTTTATGTGTTATGCCATGCATTTTATTCCATTCTGTGGGCAACTGGGAGATCAGATTGGCAGCCTATACATGTGCTCGGGGATGGGGCAGAGGTGCATTTTAATTAGATTGGTTCCCGAAGAGCTCCTCTAATGAAAATGCCTCAGTGTCATATATAATAAGTTCCTGCACATTTAAAAATAGCTGCAGGATACTTTAACTAAAGCTCATTCGATGAGCTTTAGTTAAAGCACCCCAGTGGCCATTTTTAAACCCACAGGGGCTTATACACATGACGAAACCGGGAAGCTAAACCTTTTTAATTAGAATGCAGATTGAGTCTGCTCTGATGCCTCCTAATTAAAACACATCAAAGCACATATATAGGCCCTTGTTGTGACTTTGTAGCACATTTCAAACTTAATAAAAGCTGGGGAAGTTTTCACACCTTTTGTATGAAAGCACTTACATAAGATTTCTGAAAGAGAAATTTGCACATCTAGTTCGCATACAGAAGCAAGCTTAACATTCTCAGAGTGATAGGCAAGAATTATCAGAGGAATTATTACAGCAGTTCAGATAACCTATTGGCAGCTGCATCATGGACAGGCCCAAGAGCAGGTTCAAAGCTGCCAACCCAACTGCCTCTCTTTTCTCCTGCCAAGAGCTAAATGTTAGCTTTAGAAAAAGATTGAGCCCCCTCTGTAATCTGGTTTCTGTGACTGCATCCAAAGATTGATGAATAGTAAAATATGAGAGGCTAACAACTACCAAGTAGCATGCTTCTTGTTGGTGACTCAAAAACAGTTCAATATTTTGTGACTGTTGTAGGACCATTGACAACACTTTTCTTATCAGTGCCAAACCATTAGCTACCTTGGTACCTAATACAACTCACTACTATTCTATTAAATCTGCTAGAGTCTTCCTATGCTACTGGGGATGTGATTGCAATTCAGTGGGAAGTTTAATTATCATTTGATCAGATTATACACTGCACAACAAAAGATAAAGGCTGGACCTAATTGTTCTTCTGGGGCAAGAACCCAACCTGAGGATTTTTTTTGTGGGCTCTGGCACATGTGGCAAAAGGCAGATGGTAGCAGTTTTTTCTTAAGTGTCCTGAGCAAAAACATGAGGCGTGGTTAAGTGGTTTGAGTTCAAGCCTGGGAATAGGAACACACATACTTGCTTACCCCAAAATTTCCTTTCCACAAGGAGCAAGGGTCACAGATCTTCTTGCCATGCCTATTTGTGGGTTTGACAGGGATTTTGGAGCTCTTGATCATTATGGAGTGGAGTAGCACATTGCTTGGCCAGTGACTGATGTGTCAGAGGTCTGCCATTCAGCCATGCTCACTAAAGCCTGTTTACAGAAGCTGAGGATCTGCTTTGCTGAAGAATTAAGAATTCTTCAGCTGTAAACCTGTCCCTACTACTGACTCTTTCTGTAGTCTTGGGCAAGTTACTCAACTTCTCTGGTTCAGGTTCTTGAGCTGTAAAATGAGGTAAACAATGCTTACTACCTAATGCTGGTACACTTGGGGTTAGAGGAAGGAAAGATTTTTTTTAGCTAAGGCACTAGAGTGGCTCAAAGAGACACTTCATGAATCCTTCACTTCCTATTAATACTTCACTTCCTATTAATACCTCACAGAGCTGTTGGGAGGATAAACACATGAATGATTCTGAAGCCCTGTGGGCCCCTCTTCTAGTGTAAGTAAAGGCATGATGGGATCTAATGTGTGATGCCCACATTCACACCTCTGCCATGCAACGCGCATAGCAGGAGGCATGCCTGTGGGAACGCGGATGAGATCCTACCACACCTTATGGTTGGTGCAGGGGGAGCCCAATCCTTTTGCACCAGCAAGAAGTAAGTTCCTGTGGCTGGGAGCCCCTCAGCTGACAGGACTCTCAGCCACAGGGGTGCCCCACACACCTCTAAAACTGGGAGACCATAGATGATACAATTTTCCAGGTGTGGGGGTACACCAGGCACTCCACAGCAGGGAGACTGCTGCTGCTGCATATTGCTGCATTCCAGCAATAACTTTAGAGCTGGCTGGACCTTTTTAAGACACCATAGTTAATTTATGTATGTAGGCAGTCTAATTGTGCAGTTAACCAGGTAACAGATGTAATATTTGGAGGGACCAATGGTAAGTGGCCTAAGTGCTATACAATGTATAGGGGAAAACTCCCAACTAAAGGGATTCAAATATGGAAAAAAGGCTGTAATCAATGATGTAATCAATGTTAACCCCTTACTGTGGTGAGAGCAATTACTAAAATGCCATTTTCAGTGTAATTTGATCACATTCTCACAGCCATCTAAGGAGACTCACCTTACATTTTCTAATGACAATTTACAATATTTTGTGTAAAAATATGGTATCAGATAAAAATGCATGAATTCATTTTAAACTCTGTGCTAGAATGAAACAAGTCATCATTCTCCAAATATTTGTGATATCTTTTTCATGTAATGTCTGGTAGAACTAGGCCTTGATAATACTGATACTCAGAATTAAGATTCACAGAGCAACTACTCCCAGGATCTTAAAGCACTTCATCATGGAAGATAAGCATTCTTCCGAGCTTTCATCTCCCCTGTCAGTTCTACTTCAGTCACAGCACTCTTCCTATGTTGTATGTAAGAGAGGCTGTCAAGAGAATCAGTATTGTGAGTGGGGCACTGGACAGACAATAAGGCATCGCAGAGGGACTGCCCCACTACCAAGTCTGCTCCTGGCATTTTCCTCCCACACACTGTGGACACAAAATCTACATTTTGCTTAAGAAATGTTGTTGGGCTGATTTCCTATTTGATAAAAATCAGATAATATGAATGAGGGATAAGATTTTTAATAGAATCTGTTTTTTAAAGTCAGATTTAATTGTCCAAAATTGAGATTTAAACTAGGATCTTTCATCACTAGTTATATTAAAAAAAAAAAAGTTCCGTATTGACTGTTGAAAGGGTAATCTGTTCTCCTAACAGCTGGTTTTTAAAGCTAATTATCACAAAATTTACTTCGGCATAGAAATACTATAACTCAAAACTTAAAACAGTCTGTACTTGTTTCTGTACTGAGCTGGACTTAAGCCATACTGCCTATCTTTTCTTGGACAAAACAGTAACAAGCTACTTACTGAGACAGAGCTTGTGACAGATTCCCAGTTGGTTTCTGAGGCTGCGGGCTGGAAATCATCCTAAATGGGAAAAACCCACAGGAAAAATCACCGTCATAGCAATGTCCAAAAACAACAACAGGCCTTAAACAATGCCTCTGTGGCTTTGGTCCTTTGCCCTTTTAAAACCTCTTCCAAATAAAAGCACTCTGCCACATATTTTTCCTACCCCCTTATACATGATATCATTATTTGCCTGTAGGGACATTTTTTTCATTCCATTTAAGAAAGGCATTTGCAAGGTTTTTGGGGCAGTGTCTGCTATTTATTATAGGTTTGTTCAGACTGGGTGAGCCCTAGCAGAAAAAGGTTCAACCCGTTTGAGGCATTTAAGTATACAATGAATGTTAAATAGCAACATTTTTCTCAAACATTATGGCAACCACAAATTTAAATTACAAATCTTGTTATAAAAAAACTAGACACCTATCAGTAGAGATTGTTTATAGGTTGGATGGCTCTACAGTAATAGGTAATAATGACTTAAATTGTTGACAAGCCAATTGAAGATAATACAACAGTACACAAGTATTACTTAGTTCCATTACAGTTTTGCCCATTTCCGCTTAAAAGTGTATTTACTGAAAGCATCAAAAAACGATGAAAGGTAAGCCGCACCAAATATAATGGCTCTCTCTCTTTCTCTTTCTCATACTCATATATATATGATAGAATGAATTGTTTATATCTTCCCATTGCAGTGCAACCTGCACATGCCAGCTGGTTTGAGGGAATTGGGAATTGGACACAGACAGCTACATTTTCAATCCTCATAATAGAACTACCAAATAAATGCCATTTAAAATAAAGGGGTAGGTGGAACTTCAGCTACACCAATTTACACTAACTATGGATCTGCTACAGATTTGTTTGTGTGCTGGCAATGAGTAAAAGATACAAACTGGCTGCCAGATCTTTGGCTGGATTAAATCTGCTTTGCTCTACTGACTTCACTTCCAAACAGGAACACACACACGCGCGCGCGCACACACACACACACACACGCTTTTTTCTGAATGTGACAAGAGAAAATTGAACGCATAGTATGCTAGATCATCAATAAATCTGTCACAGCTTTCTCTCTCCCTCAGTCAGGAAGGAACCTAACTACTTTCAAATAGTCCATGTAGCCAATATAACAGTCTTCATATTTTTCCAGAATTTATAGACATTATGGCTGGAAGGGGCCTTGGAAGATCATTGAGTCCAGCCCCCTGCCCCAAGGGCAGGAAATCAGCTGGGGTCAAAGGATCCCAGCGAGATAAACATCCAAATGTCTCTTGCAGGAGTCCAGAGCAGGTGCTTGGGGGCTTGGACAGTACAGAAGTTCTTCCTGATTTATTTATTGTTATTATTATTTGTTTATTTATTGTTTCACTCTCTCTTTCTCTCTCATTGAAGTGCTCCTTTCCCTAAAAGGGCCAAAGCCCCCAGGATTTTAAGGTGCCTTTCTGCTTTATGAAGTTTAGATTATTCAGCCATGGAACACAGAGTATGCAGTGTCATATAGATGGCCAATTAAATTACACAGATACTCAGCAGTGAATAATTCAAGTAGATAGTTTTACAAATAACCCACAGGACAAAATATATTTGCATCTATAATTAACTATAAACAGCATACCAATTTGTAAACTCTAGAAGAGTTCAAGAAGAAAGGACTAACTTTGTTAGATTAATTGCAGATTAGTTGGTCCATTCCAGTTAACTTTGCTATTAAACCAGAATAAATTCAGAATCCCTGATAACCTCAGTCACTTAAAAAACTACATGACCAACTCCGTTCCATCCTTGGATTGCCTTCCGCATTGCCTTAGGAAACGTGGCATTGAGTTTTGAAGCATTAGTCTAATACAGGACCATGCTGCCTTTTTCGTCGCTCAGAGAGGATTACAGATGTGAAATGGCCTTGTGTTTGAAATATCTTTGCTCTCTGATGCTGTTTGTCTAACATTAGATATGGAAACTGTTTCTTCAGTCTGTGATTCTTTTGAGATAGCTGATGCCAGGCCAATATTCCACAATCACTGAAATGACTAGGTACGCCACCTGCCTCTTAGATCTCACTGATGATGACTATACATTTTGTCTTGGTGATTGCACTTCAGCTACTAAAACTCACCGTTAACTATTCATGGTTACATGGCTTTCTTTCACCTTCACTTAAAGCAACAGTAGCGCCTAGCCTCTAAAGAGCTTTTAACCCCCACACATTTTGAGTTTATTATTATCTGCTCAGAGCTATTTAAAGGAATGATATCTAAAAAGGGGTTTTGGGGGTTAATTTTTAAATCCATTTCTCTTTTGCCTTGGTTGTTTCTAACAGCCACATGAAAATTTGAGAGCAAGATCTGTTTTGAAAGGAAAAGGAGACATCTACTCATCGACAGGCCTACCTGACCACAGTGCTTTATTTTGGTAAGGTTTTGTGCATGAGCACGAGCCTTCTGGGTACTTTTATATTCATTATTTATACATTTAATTTGAAAACTAAAACTATACAGCTGAATTTCCAGCTGAAAACTTGAAAAACAGAAAGTCAATAATTTGAAAACATCACTCCCAACACTCCATTTAATTGCTTACAAGTCTATGCTGCTAACAATAAATACTGCTCAAGACAGTGGCGAGTAAACTGTTGTTCATGCAGCAAATAATATGGGCGCTAATATGCTCACTGTCACCACTTATTTTCACACAAAGAAAAACCTGTCATCTGGGATCAGTCAGTTACAGACACAAAAACTTTTATATAGCTTTGTTTCACAATTTTTGAACACACGTGTAGGGGCACGCATTTCCCCTGAGACAAAAAGCAGTGCAGATGTTCAAACTGCTGTGTTTCAGGATGCTGCTTCTGGGACCCCAGCAGTCTGAGCTGGGGTGGAGCTGCTCCAGACTGGCAGGGGTCCAGGGGGTCAGCCGTGGGTTCTGGAAGTGGTATTGGGGCTGGCTTGGGCACAAAAGTGCCCCAGCTTATAGAGCCCTGTGGCTAAGTGGAAGGCAGGGGTCTGGACCCTGGTGCCTTTGCTGACTGGGCACATGTACACCTGGGTCAGCATTTACATGTGTGTTAAGGGACAGTTATTTAGTGCTGTAAGATACTATCCCTGGTGGTAGTGAAAATTAATTTGCTATGATCTAGTAGTGTTGTACATGTAGACTGACACTTTACACCACAGCAAATGAGTCTACTGCACAGTCAAGTGCATATGTAGATGCACCCAATATTACAAATCTTGTTCCTCACCTATGGGTCAGTATATCTGAATATTGTTATACTGCAAGTAGCTATTGCCTTAGAGACAACACATCAGGCCTATAGGACTTGCATGGACTCCTAAAGAATTTAGCATACGTCACGTCTCATATCTCAGCTAGGTCCCAGCAAATCATGAAGGGGGCCTTCTTTACCTCACCAACCACCTGCATGTGTAGATTTCAGTGAGACACAATAATATGATGTCTCCTTTTCGAAGGGTATGTGAATACTTGCAAAGACATTATGAGCAAAATGATTCCTCTACCACTGCAGTTTCTGCCATCATAAAGTTGTCTCATTGTCTGGAAGAAGCAAGCAGAAGGATGAATGGCAGCTGTCCCTAAAACTATCTCGGGAAGGCAATAGTTTTGATAACAGGAACAAGGATGTACTCTAACCTGAGAAACATGCCCTTAGCCACCAATCATCATAATACACAAGTCCTGTAGGCCAGGCTGGAATTCTGTTTGCTTCTAAATATATTTTGACACTGAAAAAAATCATTTAACCTTTTCTGGCTTTATCCCACTTTCTCAAATGTGTAACCATTATGGTCTATCCCTTTGCTAGATGTCACCTCTGTGCTAGATGTATGTTACTCATTCTACCTGGGCCTGGCAGAAAATGCCTCAGGAAAAAACACCATATACAAACACCCAGTTTTCAACAAAAGCTCACAAACAAAGCTCTGAATTTGCTTTTTACTGAATTTGAGCATCTACCCCTAATCCAGAAGCCCTGAAAGGTAATGAGCCAGACTCAGGCAAAGACTACCTACCAAGACAACTACATTGCACAGATCTGATATAGTTAATAAAACCAAGAATAACGCCCTAGGTGCAAGAATCTGGGAGGGAGGAAGAGAAACCAGGAGATCTGATCAATTTGATATCGCTAAGCATAAAAGCCACTTTTATAAGGTCCTTTCCTAGAAGAGAGATCTTCTTCCCTGGCCACTCTAAGTAGGGAATGAGAGGAAAACAAAAGAAACAACTTAGACTTGTTCCTGTTTTCTTAGACAGAATGGAAGAGACTGAGAAAGTGGAGAAAATGTGGGGGGGAGGAAAATATAAGGGGAAAAGAGTCAGGAATATTGAGAAATAGAGAAAAGTTGAGCCCAGCCTATTTATTAATACACTAATAACTGAACTTCTATTAATATACAGCAGTGGTAAATGCTTCAGGCTTGTTCCAGACAGGTGGTATAACAGGGCAGCAGATACTAGAAGCCTGCAGAGATCGAGCCGAAATTATCCTGATGTCAAGTGTTTGTACTGAGAGGCAGAGCTGATTTTGCTGACTCAAACTAGAGATCAGATCAAGCACATCCAATACATTCCAGTGTGGGGATATAAAATGAATTAGGTTGCTGTAGCTATGAGAGTCCAGAGAATATGCAACAGCCAGGATCTGTTTAGTAATGCCTTTTATTGGACTAGCCATATAGTTGGGAGAGATGTCAGACAAGCTTTATGCCTGAAAGCTTGCCTGACCTCTTGAAGATATTACCAAAAAACACAACAACAAAACCCCCCAAACCAAGCCTGCTTCTCACATAAAAAAACCTGAAGTATGAGGATATGAGGAGATAAGGGACAAAGTACTAAGACAGAAGGGGTCCAGCAGGACAAATTTTAGTAAAGGCAAACTTCAAGGAAAACCAACTGTTTAAATTCTGCTCATATTTAAGGTAAAGAAATTAAAGAGGTAAATTTGAACTATACTTAGTGTGTTTGTTGCATTCAAAGTCAGGGGTTGT